TTCATTTTTCCAAACTCCCTGGGGCAATCCTAGCTGAGTTCATAACTTCATCCCAAGTTTTCTATTTAACTGCAAATTGCGCTACAATATTTATCAGTGGCAACATCAATATCATCATCTTTCAGACTAGATGTAACACAGGAAATCTGTCCAAAATACCTTATATGAGAAAAAGATCATTTGCTAGAGCAACATCAACACTTTAGCATGCAAAATCACTTCACGTTATTGGAAATTTATGTATGTAATCGCATCTCGACAGAAGCAACTTCTAACATAAAGATAAAACTTTTTGTCTTCTTCTGAATTTCTTTCACTACTTAAAGCAGTTCTTTAAGCCGCCAACGTGTACCATGTTTTCAAAAATTTTCTCATTTCAGTATTACGCAGCTGTTGGAACTTTCAATTTTCCTTCCTTTTAGAATTTCAAGATGACAATATATCAACAATGTTTCATCCACATTTATGGGAAAGAAGCTGTCTCGTTTTCACGTAATTTAAGAGGTGCAATGCACCTCAAATTTGCAAATGTGAATTTTCCTTTCTTAAGATGCGTGCAACACCATCTTCAGCCTACCATTACTGGCGCATTATCGGCACCAAGTGCTAAGCAATCATCCGACGGGCTGCATTTTCTTTTAAAGTTTTAATAATTAGCTGTGATCCGGCAATTTTTAAATGACTGTACTCTCATTAACTAATTTTTCAACTACTTTGTAACAAGCTAGCTTTATTATACTAATTTTTGAGAGACGCTCAGGCTCCCACAATCACTCTCTGCTTCGCCATGAAGCCAACTCCAAGTAATTAACATTTTTGTAAACAGTACATGGCAGCGCATCTGGCTTCAGAGGGACTTAACAAGCGGCTAGATAAAGCCTTCGAATGTCGTTCTAAGTGGGGACAGAAAGTAAACTGCACTCAATTTCGGAGACTCTGGATTAAAAAAGAAACACATTGGTTACAGTTTTGAATCAGTATTATTGCTTCATCCGTAAGAGGCAGAACGAGCTGTTTTAAATAAAACCAAACTGAAGATTTATTTTTCAAACTCATTTCTTTAACAACGCACCTGTTTTCATTCTTCACTTAAGTATTTCTTAGCTATTCACTATCAAGACATTTTTCTAAATAAAGCGCAGGGATCCGGCATTCAGGGCGGGTAAAAAGGGAGAACAGACATTCGCATTAATATCTTTTGGTCCTTTGTTTCCGAGAAAAAAAAAATTTTTTTTTTTAACAACTTATGTTTCCTTGTTTTTGGGGACCCATAGGAACATCTGCCCTCCACCCTGCGAAATCCCATATGTTTGAGAACATCTGCCCTTCCACTCGATGCACATTGGAGAACGGAAATGACGTTTCTAAAATCAATTGCTTTCAGAATCCAAAATCACTTTTTTTTTTTTTTTTTTTTGTTCATACGAAGTATTAAGCCAGTTCCTAAAATCGCGAGAAATTTTAAGAATAAGATAAGTCGGGAGAAATTATGAAATCGGTTGGCGCGAGAGCGGCGAAAATCGGGAGTCCGCCTAAATCGGGAGAGTTGGCAACTCTGTTATTGATATATATTTTATGATATCTACCAGATTAAAAAATTGTTATGGCATTATCATTCTGATTTTCCTTCTTCATCTCCTTTTCACAAATTTATCACAGCATATTATACATTATTATATTCACTCTTCATATTACATCATTACTCAAAATACAATTAACTTGCCATAATGTCCTCCTCCTTAAAATGACCACTTTTGATAGTGATCAATATTTCTAAGAACATAAACAAATTTTAGTACTAATTTTCACCCCTCTAATATAAATACCCCACTGTATGAGGGTGGTTATCTAACAGATTAAAATTTTTATTCATTCCTATTTCCCTTCGGTGAAAATTAGGGCATGCCACCGAGTTGAAGATGAAAGTTTTGAAGACAACTTTGCCCAGATGTGTAAATATTATCATAAAAGAAATTTTGGATAAACAGGTACAAGTTCAGTTCGCATTATATCACAACCAGGTTCCGAGATAATACAGTCAAAAGTCGTTAATTCGGACACCCATAATCCGGAATGATCTATAATCCGGACCTCAAACTACAAACTTTCTGCGCGTCGGATTGACGCATGCACGTAAACCTTTCGGCTGCAATGGGTGCGCAAAATACGTTTACGAATGCGCGTTTAATGTATACGGACGGTAGAAGCTAAGCTAAAATTATCTAAGTCAGGTACGTGCAGAAGTCCTTAATCTTCGAATTGGAGTCGGCTTATTATTTTTTGCAGACTCTTGGAGCAATATATAAAAGTAACTGAACTTTCCATTAAGTCAAATAGAATTTCTGATATATATTTACTAATAGTAAAGGATCCTACAAAGCGAAAGTAATGTTTCGAGTCCATGAAACAAAAAGTGGATTGCTGCAAAAAATGGATAAAGGCATATCCTTGTTTCTATCTTTTAACGCCGTGGCGCACAATGAATTGGAAGTTGATCTGTCAGCCTCGATCCTTAGCTTCAGGCAGATGTTTTTATTTTATTTGGCTTATAATTCCTTACTAAATGTAGTATTCATCTCGATGTACTCCGTCTTTGATAGATTAAATCAATTCTTGTCATTATAATTCGCTTCGATAGCGAAGAAAGGACAGAGGTTATTGAAAAACAAAAAATTTCGATTGACAAGTTAGTTTGGTATTCTCGACACAGCAATTATAGGACTTGAACAGCGGACTTTGTACTGAACAAGAAATTATGTCTGTTTTAAAAGAATTAAAGAGAATGTTTATCACATAAAACGAAGCAACTTAACAACTTACATGAGAAATGTTAATAAAGTAAACAAATAAATATTAAGCTTTTTTTTTTGTAATAGATCATAATTGTTCTTTATTTCATAAATTACGGTTTCATATTTTTAATTTTAAATTTCTGCAGCAATCTTACCAGATTTAAACTGATGATCTATAATCCGGAAAAATCGATAATCTGGAATCGCCGAAGTCCCACGAGTCCGGATTAACGACTTTTACTGTAGCATAAATATTCATTCCGCAAAAAGTGAAAGTAACTACACACATCATATATATAGCAATGGGACTATGCAGAGTGATAAATTTCAATTTTGGAACAATGATACTGACTGAAAGTAACTTGATAAATGCCTGATTAAAATACCTCACAACCCGCACCAGACTTCAAAATCACAGGTTCTCATTATCCCCCCCTCCAGAAAAAAAAAAAAAAAAAATTTTGCAGTTTGAAAGGCAAGCAACCACACTATTTATTGATCTAATGATAAGTACATTATCTGTCTATATATACATATTAAAAAAAACTTTTATTGAATATGTGGGGGACACAATATACAGTACAAAGTCTTTAATCCGGACGTCATTATCCAGAATGATCTATAATCCAGACCTCAAAGCCACAAACTTTCACATGTGCGTTTAATGCGTAGTCATTTACGCATGTGCATATACGCATATGCATAATACGTTTACGCATGCGCATTTAATGTACAACAGGCGGTATAAGCTCAGCTAAAATTATCTAACTATCTATTTCAGTTAATGTTTGCAGATTGCATTGTTCCTTAATCTTCTAATTGGATCCAGCTTATTTTTTGCAACTGTTAAACAATTTTATAAAAGTAAGCTTGAATTTTCGATTAGGTCAAAAAGAGTTTCCGATTCTGGAACTGCCAAAGGATCTACAAAAGCAAAGCATGTTTCGATGTCCATCAAACAAAAGTGAAATTGCTGCAAAAAGGATAAAGGATGAAGAAGGTGACAGAGAGGTAGTGAAAACAAAAAATTTCGATTGACAAGTTGTCGGATTCTCGGCACAGCAATTACAGGACTTGGTGTGTGGTGTATTTAATTATGCGAAGCACACTAGGCTATCTGCCTAAGGGGAGGGATGCCTTCGTGGAGGACTTTCTAAGGGAAACTGGCTCGTATACATGTTACACATGGGGAAAACCATGAAAACACCCATGCAGCCAGCCTGTATGTGGGATTCGAACCTCGGACCGAACTACCAGTGTTCAACGACTTTACCGCTCGGCCGCTGGTGAGCCTAATTACAGGACTTGACAGCGGAACTTTGTAACTGAACAAGAAATTATGTCCCTTTATAGAATTAAAGAGAAAGTATTAGCACATAAAACGAAACAACTTAAACAACTTACATTGAAGAAATGTTTAATAAAGTAACAAATAAATATTAAAGCTTTTTTTTTTTTTGTAAAGTTTGATATTTTTAGATCATAATTGCTCTTTATTTCATTAAATTACGGTTTCATATTTTTAATTTTATACTTTCTGCATGCCATCCTTTGAGATTTAAATTGATGATCTATAATCCGGAAAAAACCGCTAATCCGGAATCGCCGAAGTCCCAGCGAGTCCGAATTAAAGACTTTGTACTGTATTATGTAATTAACCATTTGTTAGAAAACTGTTCTAAGTAATCAATTTCATTGCCCTAGTAAATCATTCCATGCAATTACTCTATATAGAAACAGTTCTTATCACAATGGTACTAAGCACTGCATTTGCAATAATACAGGGGATTTTTTTTTTAATTTCCAAGAAAATTGAAATTCCATTACCTTGATTATTTTTTCATTATCGTATACTTTATATTATCATATCATATATTTTTCAGTTATGAATTTACAGCATATGAAATTTATCATATTTTCATAACAGCGCACTTTTAACAAACACACTAATTTGATGGCTTATCACTCTATATTCCATGCTACAGTTCCTTAAATTATGGCTACATGGGAAAAGAGAGAAAAAGAAAAAAAAAAAACTGTATATATATATTTTGTCTTTGAAGAAATCACTAAAATTTCAAAGATATAATTTCTGATAAAAAAAACTTCGAAGTCCCCTAAATTATTATTTCTTTTATTTTTAAACAAGTGTTAAACACAAACAACATGTTCTCTTAACATATTAAATAACAATTATACTTTAATAACCAAGTACCTCTCGAGGACTGACAGGTGATAAAGATGATTCTCTGTCCCCAACTGGCACACGATGTGGAGCATATAGAGCACGTATATCTCTTTGAACATCTTGATAAAATGCAGCTTCCCAAAACTGCTGATTTTGCCATACAGGATGTTCTTGAATACATGTATAAGCAAACTGTATCACACCAGTGCATAACTTCTGAAAAATTAGAGTATAAAATATTAAAATATATATTAAATACAAAAAGTTTATTTTAATGACAAAAGTAACTTAATGTACCTAAGATAACAGCTTTTAAGCACAGTATCAATTACTTTTAATTATAATTAAACAAATAACAACTAAGCAAAAAACATTTCCAACAAGATCTAGAAGAAATTCTAACAAAAAGAATCATATAATAAGAAAGTACAATAAATATTCATATAAAAACACAAAACTGAATTAAAAAATGATAAGTTTGACAAATCAACAAAAATTCTGCAATGCATTTATCTGAAATACTGCATTTAAGAAGAAAAAAAAAAAAAAAAAATAGGGGGACAGTTAAATTATAACTTTACATTTTTAAACATTTCCTACGTTTTCCAAATTAGGTTGCAATCACAAAAGTCTGGATGTTATATTAATATAATACATTTTACAGCAACAGAAATGAAAAGGTTAAGACCAAGATATGGATAAATTTCTGACTTGAAAGACCTATGAGATAAAAATGAGACAAATTATTTTGCTAAAAGCCCAGAATAAAAAAAACTATGAATTACATTTTAAAGCTAATGGAGAAGCATAAAAAGAGCAAGAAGGTCTCTTTATGGGAGCAACGATGTCACCTGTCTTGGCTGAAATTTTAGCTGATTAAAAATATTTTCCGGAGTTCTTCCCCAAAACTCATTTTTTGCAAAAGATATGCAGATGGTATTTTTATGCAGCAAAAACATTAAGAATATGAAGCTCTGCTATCTTTTATTTCAGAAACATTGCCTGACTTGCAATTTACGATCAATTAAGAAGTCAATAATAGCATTCAATTTCTTCAATTAATTATCTTCTAACTTTAAACCCAGCAATTCTTCTCAGACTACATTCTGTCACAAATCAATTGGCAACCTCACAATAATCCCAGTCAGTTCTTTTCTTTTCACGTGCAAAAATACAGCTGAATTCTGTTTTTACCTGAAATGTGCCAAAGAATTCTATTCTACACTGGAATTATGAGATACTGTACGTAAATATATACTACAAGTTCCTGAAACCAATAAACAGCCTCCTGACGTTTTTGGAAAATTTCACTAAGGTCAACAAACAAGCTTCTGTAAGCATTTCTCAAAACGTAAAGTTGTTACCAATGCAAACAGAAAATTTAATGGAATTTTTTCCTTTTATCCAATAACCTTGCCTATCTGCTCCATATTTAACAGCTGGTCAGCTCTGCCCATCTGGAAACAGTGAATTACAGATACATCAGACATTGCCGCAATAGATACTTCGGATGTATAAACTATCCAAATTCGCAATGAAGTTATACAGTACAAAGTCCGAAATTCGGATGTCCATTATCCGGAATGATCTAAAATCCAGACCTCAAAGCCACAAAGAATTAAAAAAATAAATGCCTTACGCATGTGCATTTGATTTTTCCTTCCATAATAAAACATGCGGAGATTTTCACTTAAAAATTCCGATTCTTAATTTCACTTAGGCACTAAATAAAATACTTCATTATGGAAAAACAATCATGTAAGCATAAATTTGTGAGATTAATAATTTGGATCTGTAGCTGAGTATCTACTTGGTATACGTCTCAAACCGAAACATTCACCTATTTTATATCCCTGACGCCGACCTAGCAAGTCATTATTTATTATAATTTGCTTTCATCACCACATGTTTATAAATACATGACAACTTCAGTAATAACTCATGCTGTGATGTCTAAACTTTTTTTATATTAGTAATTGAGAGTATGGCAACCTTTTATGCTAACATTATGCTTGGCGATGATTATAGATTTTAAATACTCTAAGAAATGTCGACGAGGAAAAATTCAACAAAAAATTTCTTTTCATATGCTAAAAATAGATTTTGTTAACGAAACTCATAGGCCAAAAGATTACATTTAATGCTATTTTGACTTAAGAATAACTGATATGTTATTCACCATAAACCCAGAAGCGGCAGCAGAATATGTCAGGGCACTGGACGGCAGAATTTAACGGAAGACGAAATTTTTGGAATTTGGGGAAGCACCGAGCAGGCAAAATTAAGGGGTGAGAAGTTTTTTATGATTTAGGGAAAGCACTGGGATGCCAAAGTTTAAATGGCATGGTGAAAATTTAGAGCTTAGGAAAGTGCACTTTATAGCAGAATTTAGGAGCCCGTAAAGACTGCACCAAGGCAGTATCGAGCGCTGGCCCTAGGTAAAGCCTTAAGTATATGTGGGAGTTTATTTATTCAGGACTCGAATTAGTTTGAAGCATGGGCAAGAAATAAATGTAGGTATAGTAAATAACTAAACTAATACAATTCAAGCTTAATTCAGTACGCAATAGGAGCAAGACAAAAATTAGCAAAACAATTTGGATTTCGTTGCCAATCTTGTGATGAACAGCCAATAATGTATAACAGACACTGTTAAGCTACGCTAAAATTATCTTTACTGATTCTAAGGTATTTCAATTAATATAGCAGAATGCATTGCTCCCTGATCTTCTAATGTGATTCAGCTTATTATTTTCTGCAAACTGTTATTATTACGTATTACGGCAATTTTTATAAAAAAAACTAAGCTTGAACTTTCTATTATGTCGAAAAGAGTTTCCAATTCCGGAGTTGTCAAAGGATCTACAAAGCGAAACCATGTTTGGATGTCCATTAAACAAAAAGTGGAATTGCTGCAAAAAATGGATAAAGGCATATCTGTCTCAAAAGTATGTGAGGAGTATGTCATTGGAAAGTCCACTGTACATGATACAAGAAAAAAGAACATTTCGAGTTTCTTGTGGAAGCATCTTAAACAACTTACATTGAAAGAAATGTTTAATACAGTAAACAAATAAATACTAAGCTTTTTTTTTTTTTTTTTGATACCCTTTAGATCAAAATTGTTCTTTATTTCATAAATTACGATTTCATATATTTTAATTGTATAATTTCTGCATACCATCTTACAAGATTTAAATTGATGATCTATTATCCGGAAAAATCCCAAATCTGGAATTGCCGAAGTCCCGACCAGTCCGGATTTCGGACTTTGTACTGTATAAACATAAATTCAATATATTGGCTCAACATCCAGAAAGCTAATAATAAGAATTATTGAACACATAAAAAATTTCTCCATGCTCTCTGCCAATCGGTTCATCAACAAAAATAGCACTTCTTTAGTCAAATACTTTACTGAGCATTTACAGTCAATAACTGAATAGGAAAATTCCAACATCATCGCCAGACAATGGCATAAAATGCCATAAATCTGGACCACAGTTCTGAGTACAGCAACCCTGCTCAAACAGATAAAATACAAACGGGTAGCATTTTAGATCCAGCTAACAAAGTAGACGGGTTGTCTGTGAAAGCTCCGGTAATTTTAATTTTATACATTTAAAATGAAGTTCAGATATAATGACTTATGAGTTTTTAATCTCATTTTTAGCTTAACTTAACCACCTGTGCCAGTTGATTTCTAAATATCTATAAGGATTCCATAGGCAGCTTCACAAAACATAATACACATATGCAAAATATTCTTGGTTACTTTTAAATACTAAGTAGAGTAAACTGTTTATTTTTGCTAAACAATGACTGTTCAGAAACGAACTGAGCTTTTTTTAAAAACTGCACATTAATGGCTGCAGATGATGTGCTTCGGCCATCATGCATACCTAGTGGCATATATTGGTAACATATTGCTTTTCACTGAGTTCAGATCTACGTGTTAGTTGTCTAGTAACCATCAACTCAGTGAAGTCATATATATGCAACTGGATTAGTGAAAAAAAAAGGGGGGAAGGAGCTGGAGGAACAAAGCATCTATGGGAAATTTTACATAAAACTGGAGAAAACCTTCATGGAAACATTTCTAATGCTTAACAAGTATTAAAAGATGACTGCATGAGTTGAATGCAGTGCTATGATTGGTTTCAACATTTTAAGGAGAGCAGAAGTTTGGCTGCTGAAAATCCAAGGTCTGGACAAATTTCCATGTCAAAGAATACCAATATGTTCAGAAAACCATTTTGAAAGAATGTCATTTCCCCTTCATTAGAAAAATGCAATGAGAGTATTACACAGCAGCAGAAAAAAAAGATTTTTAGAAGACGTTCCAATTCTTGTTGGAATCAGAGAGATCGTTCAATATTCGTGTCATATTTAAAAAATGATTACCTAATTTTCTTTCCAATTCAAGTCATACGATGATGACTCTTGCTGTGAACGCAACTGGTTCAGATTGCTCTTATTCAGAATTATTGTCTTTATCATGTTTATTTGTTTCATGAATAATGTTAACTAAATCAACCTCATCTAGTTCTTCATCAGCCATTATTTCTTCAATATCATTCTCATCTTTAGCAGCATCTAGCCATATTGCTTTCCAGCATGCGTTCAGCGTTGATTGTTTAATTTGAATACATGACAGTCCAACATGCTTAACATAATCTAAGATTGTAAATTTCTTCTAAGCATCCATAAGAGTAAGAAATTCATCTTCTTCATTTATTCTAAAATATGCCTGAAGGTTTAATATAAAATGCCTTAAAAGTGGAAATTTTTCCTTGATCTTAATGGCTGTAATAAGAAGTTCTATTCTTTGGTAAAAAGACAACTTCTACATTTTCATGTTGTAAATCTTGAGAATTACCAGTTGCATTATCAATTAATAGAAGAGCTTTAAAAGGCAATTCCTTTTTCACTTAAATAATTTTTGACATCTGGGACATGTTATGAAAATATTCATTGAAAGCTACGGCAGTGATCCATGTTTTCTTATTAACCATCCAATAAACAGGAAAGTTATTCATGATTATTCCTTTAAATGAGGGTGGTGTTTTTGATTTGTTAATAACCAGCAGTTTCATTATATAATCGCCTGAAGTGTTGCAACAGAAAAGAATTGTTAAATAACTTTTCTCTACCTTATGACCACTAGCTGATTTGCATGCTTTACCTAAATAGGTTCTTTCAGGCATTTTTTCCCAGAACAACCCAGACTCGTCAGCATTGAAGATCTGATCAGAAGTGTAGGAGTTGGCAGCAATAATTTCAGCAAAGTTTGCTGGATATTGTTGTGCTGCATCCGAATCAGCAGATGCACTTTCTCCTTTCAGTCTCTGACATTATGCAAAGAATATCTTTGTTTATATCTCTCAAACCAACCATCGCTTGTAGAAAAAGATACCTTTTTTTCATCTGACGAAGTCAACAGTGACTGATTCTTAAGTGCTTTATAAATCTTTAAAGCCTTATTTGTAATAGCATTAGTATCAATAGGAATTCATTTTTGATTTTTGCCTTCTATCAATATCACGAATGCCTTTTTCATATTTTCAATTGCATCATCTCATACACATGAAATTATGCTCTTACTTACAAGTTCCAGCTGCTACACTTTTTCTAAAGAGTCTTCATTTTTTTCTAATTGTTCTTATTGTGGCTTCATTCATGGAGTAAAATTTAGCAACATCTGTCACTTTTTCTCTATTATGTAGACAACCTAATATTTTTAATTTTTGTTTTGAAAGAAATAGCTTTTCTTTTTACTTAATTTTTTTCAAATCTTTTGGCATTATAAAAATGTAAAACATTTATGTAAATTATAAAAATGCCACAAAAAATATAAATGTTGAAAACTTATCAGTAAACATTCAAATATGTAGATAAAAATGATATATGCTTTGCTGCTAAAATACTAATACAGGACTAGTTCACATGAACCAAACAGCTTTACTGTTGCTGAAATACATATACATACTACGGGGATTTCCCTTTTACAAAACAGGAAATCAAAATCCGTGTTGTTGCCACCAGTGTTACCAAAGAAATGAGATTCAAAAATGACTTCAAATACATGTATTTGCATATTGTGAAAGCAAGCCTACACTTTGCATTTCGTATTAAAGGATTATCACAGTAATCTTATACAAGGTGTGGCTATTAATTTCCAGGACTGCTCTAATAACACCAGAACAGATGATGTGAAAAACGTAACCTTTTAATACGTTTCGAAGTAATCCCCATCTGCCGTAATACACTTCTGTGCTCGGCTGTATAAGTTGTGGAAACAACTTTTAAAGTCCTCTTTCGGAAGGCTCTTCAAACTCAAAGTCACATTCTTCTTGATGTCTTCAACATCCAAAAAGACATCCTTTGATCACAGTTTTGAGTTTGGGAATGTTTGATTGTACTCTCCTGACTTGGTCCCCGCAGACTTCTTTTTGTTTCCCAAACTCAAAACTGTGATTAAAGGAACATGCTTTGTGGATGTTGAAGACATCAAGAAGAACATGACGTCAACATTGAAAAGCCGCTCGAAAGAAGACTTTAAAAGTTGTTTCCACAACTTATACAGTTGAGCACAAAAGTGTGTTACGACCAATGGGGATTACTTCAAAACATATTAAAAGGTTAAGTTTTTCACATCTTCTGTTCTGGTGTTATTAGAGCAGTCCAGAAAATTAATAGCCACACCTTGTATTATATTATATGCAGCCAAATGTACATTTTTAACAAGTTTTTGAAATCCATTAATTTTTAAAGCATGCAAAACCAACATCGTGTAAATCGAGGGATAGATAGATGTATTCACATTTAATATAGCTATTTCATCTGGAATGTGTATTTACAATGACTAGACATAACAAAAGAAAGTTATCACAAACTCACTCTGCAAAATGCCATAGCCAATGGTAAAATAGCAGCAGCTACACCATATTCATCCATAGATGAATCATCCTAAAAAAAATTAGTTAAATTAATAACTTCCAAATTTGATATTTCAACAAAATGCATATTATAAAGTTTCAATTTAAATTCAATAAAGCATAGTATTGAAAGGATTGCTAATTAATTAAAAATACATACATAAAATAAATACATATTAGGCAATAAAACCTATTAAATACCAGCATCAATTTTTTTTTGGGAGATGTGAGGGTGTGTGTTTTACAACATTGCTAATAAGCACTCCTTGATTTTTGCAATGTGATTGGAGATTTATATATTTATTAAGGGTTATTTAATATCATACACTGCCACATAACATATTAAAAATACTTCAGTAACATTAAAACTACTAAATGAATTCTTGAATGGAACCTCAGTATTTCAACAGTCAATTCTCCTTTAGTAACTGCAAAACTGAAATTTCAAATCCTTACGTATATTAATTACAATAAAATACACTGTAACATATGCTATTGAAAGTAAAATGCAGAAAATCTTCTATAACAATTAATTTAATTTAACTGGTTTTTCTATGTGTAGTCAAACTACATTTATATTCTTTTTCTATAGCCACACACATTTATGGCTTTTATTAAATCACTACAATCATCAATTTCAGCATAAAATACTTTTATCACTACATAATTAACTTTTTTCTTATGAAATATCCTACCCAATGAAATATTTTTCAATCCAAAATTATAAGATTTTCTGAAGTGAATACATAAAGTTTGTACTGTTAAACAAATATAAGGAATTTTTATAGACATTGAATTATCTATGAATATACAAAAATTATGTAATCAATATTCCCTCCTACAATGTTCCCAATACTTAAAATAGTTTTGTGATAGTATGATCTTTTACTTCTAGAATCAACTGCTGTAAATCTGAAGTTAGTAATAAATTGAAATAGAAATTCCCATTATACAAAGATTAGTTCTCATGAGAAGAAAAAATCATACACTTCTATGTACACAGCGATGGATAAAAAGAAAGATGTAAAAATTTATGGTTAAAAAACAAACACTTAATTTCTATACAAAAATGTTCCAAAATTATTCAGATATGCTGCCTTTTGCTTACATTATTCTATATGAAATCTTGATAAACATTTAACTGTTCTATACATTAATTATAAACTGATACACTGTTCTGTCACAGAGTAGAATGTTGAAAATATAAAGATCTGTTTATTATTATTTTAGAATAAAATGAGCTAACATTTTGTAGGAGAAATTAAACATTTTAAAAGTTCATTACTTCATACACCTTCTTGATCATTTATATGATTGTGAAGTAATGAAAAATGCTTAACTGAGTGACATTTCACTGTTTAAAGGAATTACAACTATCAATAGACAAAATTAAATTAAAAATGTTTAGTCTACAAGAGATTTATCTTTAAAGTCCAAATTACTTGATTTAAAATTTATAGACCATTTTATGCTCTATCCCAAGAAAAATAATCAGATGGAATAGTGAAACACTACATTTGTTTCATAAAAGTACGATTTTGGATAGCGATATTTATTGCTTCTGGTGATTCCTATTGCAGTTTGAAGTTCTTTGCTAAAAAAATATAAATTTAATACCTTGTTATTAATTTATTATGTTACTTAATATCTAATCCTAAGACCATGAAAAATTATTACTGTATATTCCAGCATAAAACAGCTTCATATGCAAAAAAGAAGATCAAAATTTACCGGTGCGAGTTATATACTGGATACAAAAATGATAGATTTAAAAATAAGGAAAAGATGAACATTCAAAAATTAGATTTCTTTATATTCCTAAATGCTGTTTATTTAACCCTCTGAACAGTCCAGGGTTTTGACTAAAAAAGCACAAATTTGCCAAAACTACTGTGAGAACAAATTATTTTTTTGATATTAATGTAAAAACTCTCCTGGTATTTTGTACCTGCATTTGCTTTCTTTTGATATATTGCCTTAATTTCTTTGACATATTTTAATATGCACATATATCAAAAGTCTTTAATCCGGACCTCAAAACTACAAACTTTCTGCGCATGCATTAACGCATGCACATAATACCTTTACGCATGCGCATAATACCTTTACACATGTGCGTTTAATGTATAACGGACGGTATAAGCTAATCTAAAATTATCTAATTATCCATTTCAGTTAATGTTGCAGATTGCGTTGTTCCTTAATCTTCTAACTGAATCTGGCTTATTATTTTTTTGCAGACTGTTAGAGCAATTTTATAAAAGTAAGCTTGAACTTTCGATTATATCAAAAAGAATTTCCAATTCTGGAACTACAAAGCGAAAGCATGTTTTTATGTCCATCAAACAAAAGTGGGGAATTGCTGCAAAAAATGGATAAAGGCATATCCTTTGATTCTCTAACCATTCCGAAATATGTTTATCAATTTCACGCTGCTCTGTGGAGGGGGTGGACGTTGCGGCGCGCAACGAACTGGAAGTTGATTTGTCACCACTATCCTTATCTTCAGGGCAGATGTTTTTATTTTATTCGGCTTATAATTCCTTACTAAATGTAGTATTTCATCTCGATGTACTCCGACTTTGATATGATTTAAATCAAATTCCTCATCATTATAATTCGCTTCCGATAGCGAAGAAAGTGACAGAGGTTATTGAAAACGAAAAAATTTCGATTGACAAATTAGTCGGTATTCTCGACACAGGAATTATAGGACTTGAACAGCGGAACTTTGTAACTGAACAAGAAATTATGTCTGTTTATAGAATTAAAGAAAATGTATTATCACATAAAAAACGAAGCAACTTAAACAACTTACATTGAAAGAAATGTTTAATAAAGTTAAAAATAAATATTAAGCTTTTTTTTTTTTTTTTTGTAAATTTTGATACCCTTTAGATCATAATTGTTCTTTATTTCATAAATTACGGTTTCATATTTTTAATTTTATAATTTCTGCATGACATCTTACCAGATTTAAACTGATGATCTATAATCCGGAAAAATCGATAATCCGGAATCGCCGGAGTCCCGACAAATCCGGATTAACGACTTTTGACTATATACGCAAAAGATGTAGCCTGTTATATATGTAACTGTATCTTTTATTATCTTTAATCAAAGTGTTGCGATGGAGTTCTGAGTGTGTCTATGATTTTTTACTTTTGACAGTCTGCACATGTTCTAGCCCATACAGTGATGTCCTTCTGCATGCCAGGCCACACAAAACGCTGTTGAAGTAACATGCAGGAAGCTCTGATGCCAGGATGGGATAAATTGTGAAGGCTGATAAAAATAATAAATAAATGATAAAAATAAAGTCGAAATTTGAATGGAACATATGGCCACACCGCACTGTTTCAAGCAACCGGCATCTGGTCTCTTAACATGAAATGAAACGCTCTCACAAATGGAAAGCACAAATGGAAATTCCGTAAGCATGGAAAAAGTTTTGAGATATGGCTTTGTCCTATTGGGGAAATGTTCGTGATACAACCTTAATGACTCTCTTCCATTACAATTTACAGCCTCCTAAGATAAATGTCTGCTCTCTCAGAGAACATAAATGGCACCATCACAAACAAAATTCTCTAATATCAAAGACTTGTTTGAAGTCACATGATGCCATTCAAACTCGATAAAATTGCTTTGCAAATGATTTGATAATGCAAACTAAATAAACCTCCATATTCAATATTTTTCTTCTCAAAAATTCACCTTTTTATTTAAGCCACTACACTAAATTTGTAACATCGTCTGTTCTAAAAATCTTTTGCAAAAATACATACAACATAACTGTTTGTGACACTGCCCACAATGCATCCCGATCAATGAATCAACACTTCCAGGGCTTTATCATTATTAATGGTCAGATGTTTCAGTAATTACTATGATATTATGCAGATAAAGAGTTTTGTATACAAGGTAACCAAAAAAGCTTTCGCCGTTTCTGATATGACATTGGAAGAGCGAACCACAACATAAAAATAGTTACCAAGCTTGGCGATGAAGAGGTTAAGATGGGAGTCCGGACATTGACCAAGAGTACAAAAGCGCATAAAGGTACTTCAAACATAACTCACACAGCAACTGATTGTGTCGAAGGCACTCATTTGGAGATGTTTGCTGTATGATTTTTAAAGTGGGCTTGTCAGCAGCAGAATCAAGTCTCCAAATTTGCCAGGTTTGGGGGATGATGCCATTAACAAACAAACCGCTAGGCAATGGTTCCAGAAGTTCAGGTCAGGGGATATGTCGCTTAGTGATGCACCATGCAGTGGTAGGCCACAAGTGCTGGATGATGAGGCCCTGAGAGCAGCCATAGAGAGTGACAGTAGCCAAATATTTGGTGAGCTAGCTGCACACTTCCAGATATTTGATGAAACGATCAGACTCCATTTGCATATAGGAAAGGCAGGCATACAAGCTGAGCAAATGGGTACCCCACTCACTGTCTGATGCAAACAAGCAACAGCATGTCACTGCCTGTTATGTCATTGCTTACTCAGCACCACAAAGCACCCATATTTGATCGAGTACTCACCAGCGATGAAAAGTGGGTCCAGTATGACACACCCAGTCGTTCCAGATATTGGTTGTCGCCATGGAACCTGTGCGTCACACTGAGAGACCTTCTCTCCACTCACACAAGATCATGCTCTGTATCTGGTGGACTAGTCATCAAGTGGGCCAACCCATCATGGCAGGCCTGTACTCACAGCAGCTGGAACGTGTGGATCAGGCACTGATGCATAAAGAGCCACCATTGGTCAATCGTAAGGGTGTACTCCTCCTTCATGACAATAGCTCAGGAGGCCAGGAACACCATCCAGTGACTAGGCTGGGAGACACTAACCCATCCACCATACTCGCCAGACCTCATGCTAACAGACTACCACCTTTTTCATTCCCTGGACAACCAACTTCATGCAAAATCCTTCAACAACCAGCCAGACCTCAAAAGGTCCTCATGGA